TTTTTGCGCAGACATCGTTGAACTTTTTGCACTTGTTCACGCCGGCTTTTGTGCAGACGTAGCAGTCGTTGGACTGGCCGTATGTTTTTGGGAAGTCATTAAAGTGGCATGTTTCGGAGGCGCATTCGTGGGTGTCTGAACAGCGCGCGCCATCCTTGCCATTGGTGCAGCTGGTGCCGATGCCTTGCGTGTTGCAGTACGGTTTGTCTCCTTTGCAACCGCATTGGTTCTTCCCTCCGCTGCGGGCGCGGACTTGCGCCTGCCACGCTTGCGCTTCGGCTTCGGGGGGCGGCGTTGGGGGTGGCGACGTTTCGTTCAACTTCCAGGTCTGGCCAGTAGAGGTGTCATTCGTCGGGATCGGAGGCGACGGCGGCGGCGGAGGCGGAGGCGGCGGCGGAGGCGGAGGCGGAGGTGATGGCGGCGGCGGCGGCGGCGGCGGGGACGGAGGCGGAGGTGCAAGCGCCGGCGGTGGTGGCGAGGTCTGCAACAGCAGCAGTGGCAGAAAGAGCATCTACACACAGCAAGGCTCTGAACGGAGGTCGGCAAGGGGCTCGGCGATTGGAGCGCTTGTCACGCGAGGGGGCCAAGACTTTTTTTGCTCTAAGTGAAAGTCGTCGATCCGCGGCGGCCACGTCCGCGGCGGCCGCCTCCACCACGGCGTCTCTTCCTCCTCCACCTCCACCTCTCTCCCCACCGCCGCCGCCGCCTCCGCCTCCGCCGCCTCGAGGCCGCTTCCAAACGCGTCGAGGGCGGACACCGACGAAGAAGTCGCTGTGGCGGCCGCCGCGCGAGCCGCCCGCCTCGGCCGCCGAATGCAGCAGCGTGTAGAGGCCGAGCAAGACGAAGTGGCCCCCGAACTCGAGCAGCTCGAGCGGCCCGACCAGCTCGGCGACCACGCGCCATGCAGCAGCGGCGCCATGGTCGCCGTCTGGCCCACCAGCACCGCGAGCAGGGTGCGGAACGTGGTCACGTCGCGGAAGAAGACGAGCGCCTGCTCGATACGCGCCGAGATGCGCCGAGATGCGCCGAGATGCGCCGAGATGCGCCGAGATGCGCCGAGATTGTCCGAGATGCCCGCCTCCTCGCGCGGCAGCCCCCTATATCACCGCGAAGTTGCCGGCGAGCAGCTGGTTCGTCCCTAGCTCGTGAAGAAAGAAAGAAAGAAAACACACAACCCAAGGGAGGGATGGGAGAACGGCACGCCGCCACCACACAGGGATTTTAAGGAGAGGAGTGTGGTGCGCTAGCCGTCGCCCACCCTGGGGAGTCTGCCTCTTCGTATCTCTTTTCGCAGTCTCTCGCCGCTTCTCGCTGCAACCTTCATGCCACCTCGCGGCCGTCCCACTCTCGTCGGTCTCTCCCTTGTCACTTCCTCCTCTGTCGCGTCGTTCTCTTCTGCCTCGTCCTGCGACGCCGCCGCCTGCCGGTCCCTTGTTCTCGCGGCTTCTTTCGCCTTGCGCAACTCCGTCCTCCTCGCGGCGTATCCTGGCCCCTCGAGTCTATCAAGCTCCCCTCGCGCAAGGACCACATTTCTGACTCCCACTCCGATCATTTGCCTACACGTCATGTTGTTGCTCAGGTCCACTCTCTCTTCGAACACTCGTGCCTCTACGGATGATGCCGGCGCTGGGGTCCCCTTCGGGTGCATCGTGACATCTGACAACTGAATTTCCACTGGTTCGTCCTCCCCCGAGTCATCTTCCCCGTCCTCCTTCCGCTCGGCCCTTCGCTCGGTACGTTCGGTGTGGCTCACCCTCCATGCCGTGAACAGGCGCTTTATCCACCCTATATTCTTCTCTCGTTCCTCTGCCCTTGCCTTGGTCTTGTCGTTGTTTCGCACCCATGTCTGTATGGCAATCGAGGCTGCCTTCCCCACTACCTGAAGTTCACTCGTCACCTCTCCCGCGAGCTCCCTTCTCTTTCTTTCGGGTATGGAGTCCGTGAGTGCGGGTAGCGTGCAGGCAATCACGGGTGCTATTTTGTCGTACTCCTCTTCGGCGAGCGCCCCAAATCTAGACCCTTTCGCCTTTAAGGAGGCTGCCCTCGCTCGTCTCAGGAATGTGGCGGTGTCTTTTGAGTCCGGCGCCTCCCGTTCAACTCTTGCTATCGCCCTCGCTGTGTGTTTGTCGAGCTTCCGCATGAAGTGACGCGCCTCTTCCTTATTTCCAGCGCAGCTGCCGCTCAGTATGTGCGCCAACGACGCCTGTGGTGGCTCATTGTCTTCTTGTTTCCAGTCGTCCCAGTCTTTCAGTTCCCCGCGTCTCCTCCTTGCCTCGCGCGCCTCTTTTGCGACCTCATCCCTAGCCGCTTTGCACGCTCTGCATCCCCAGAACGCACTTCTCGTGGCGGGGCCCCTCATTCCCCGTTTCTTTTCCCCCTCTAGAATACGCCTGTGGTGTTCCCCATGTCCATGTGGCACCCCGACCTGTTGTCTCACCCTGGCCCCCAAGATCGTTTTGGTCGTCACATTGTGATCCCCGACGTCGTCAAATGTCGCCCGCCTGTCCTTCCCCCCGTTCTCGTCTGGTAATCTCATCTTATTATCCCATCGATGCTTGAGGCTGGCTACTGCCACTTCACAGGGTCCGATTCCGTTGGGATCCTTTACCTGTGCGTCTCCCGGGACGCTCTTTCCGAATCGTGTCGGTCCTTCGAACACGCCGTACGCCACCCTAGGGTTCAGCACGTACTTTCCATCCTCCGCCCTTTTGTCTTCATGGTCCTTTCCTCCGTCCGTCGCCGCAAAGTGTGTGAACTGGTGTGAGACGTGCAGCGCGAGGCATGTCTGCGCTACTTTCACGTTCATGGCTCGTCCCTTCCCCGACCGCAGCGGCTCGCTGTCTTTTCCCATCTTAATTCGCTTCCCGCTGCCGTCCTTCAGCTCTCCCCCCGTCTCAAATTCGTCGTATCGGAGCAAGAAGCGCGTTAGGGGGTCCTCCTGTAGCTCCGCTACTCTGATCGCGCTCGCCCCGTGTCCGTGCCCCACGAACAGCTCGTAGTCTTCTTTCTTCCAGTTTATGTGTCTCTGGGGCGCCCCCTCTGGGAACAACGTCTCATCCGCCCCGAGGCTCCCCTCCTGTCGCTCCCTCTCCTGTCTCTCCATCATCTTTCTCACCGCGTCCTTCGTGATCTTATTTTGCTCGGGTATCTCCTCCTCCCATGTCGCGTTGGTATCGAGGCCCGGGGTCCCCTCCAGCTTTATCACTCGATTGTCCCCGTCCTCTCTCGACCCCAGGTGCGTGCCGCTGTCTTGCGCCGGTTTCTTCCCTCCGAGGTAGAGCGTCCTGGCCTTCCCCTCCACTCGGATGTCCGTCCTGGTTCGCCCTTCTTCGAACGTGTGTTCTGTCATGTTGGGTGCGCTTGTGCACACCCCGTTTGCCTCCCTGCTGTATTCAATGAATCGATCGAGCACGTCGCTCCACGACGGAGCATTACTCTCTCCATCGCACGTCTCTAGTGCTCTGTCCGCTTGCGCTGCCTCCGGCCCCGATCTACCTAGTCTTCTGCGGTGTTCTAGCCACTCTCGGAAGGACGCCGCTTGCCGTCTCGCGCCTTGCGCGTGCATTAGCTCCCGCTCCCATGTGTGGGGCATCTTATCGTGCCACACCCAGCTGTCGCTCTGCTCGCCTTCCCATTCGCAGAGGTACTCCCATCCGTGTTCGTCCTCCTCCGTGCCTCCCCCGTAGCAGGTCGGCGCCTTCCTTGCCGCCTTCACCTTCCGCACCCTATCGGGCGCCCTCCGTTCCGTCTTCTGTCCGTGTGCGCGCTCTTCTATGGCCGCCCACTTCCAGTATTGTCGCAGCTGCGCCCACTCTGGTCGCTCCAGCTGCTCCGCCAGCCTCTTGTATTCGCTATGTTCCGTCGTGTTGTCTTTGAGGCCATAGACTCGCTTCATTTGCGGCCACGTCAACACTTCCCCGGTGCCCCATTCTGACACGTCCGACCATGTCGCTATCCCGTGCTTGGCTAGGTTACGTGCAAAGTCACACGCGAGGCCTTGGTTATTCCAGCCATGACTCCTTGTCTCAAAGAGGAGCGGGCCCGACGCTCTCTTTCGTCTCTCTGTCGTTCTCCACGCCTCGGGTCTAAGCGGTCCCTTCTTGCTCTCTTCCCACCCCGCTGTCGTGACCGTCTCCACCCCACACCTCCATTTTGCCTTTAGGTATGCTTCGATCATTAGTTCGTCCGAGAGCTCCCTTTCCCAGTCCCAGCTCGGCTTCCACTCCAGCGGGTTGTCACTTCGGCATCCCAGCCTTCTCAAAGTGTGCGCTAGGCTGCTCTCCACGGCCACCCTCGCTGGTTCCCCTTCCACCGCGCTGAGGGCCCGGTCCACTTGATCGATCAGCGCCGCCGCTGCGTACGTGTATGCATGTTCCATTCCCATCCCTCCTCTCTCCTTCACATCGTATATTTGTAGTCGCGGGATTCCTACCGAGTACCCTTTTGCGTTTAGGGCGCTCGCCCTCACTTGTTCGATGCTCTGGCAATCTTCCCATGTGATGACCGTGGACCGGCCGTAGTAGCCGATAATGCCGCTCAGTGCTAGCGCCATGTTGCGTCGGATCTGCTCTCCTGTCAAGTGCGGCAGGTTGCCTATGATCCAGATTACTCTCTTGCAGTCCGCTACGCACCGCTCCCTCATTTCCGTCTGGCCCTCGCCGTTTGCCCACCCGGTCCTTAGCTCCGTTCCGAGGTATTTGTATCTCTCGTCTCCCTTCAGCTGTGGTATCGGCATGCCATCCGGCATCCTCATTTCGTAGCCCTCGACATCCCGCTCTTCGTTGTTCTCCCGTGTGAATCGTGCGTGTGCGAGAGCCGGGCTGCGAAATTCTTTTGGCGGGCAGCACCTAGCTAGGCTCTTGGGTGGCGCGCCCAACACTTTTGTGTTATACCAAGGAGGGCTACACGACGCCCTCTAAGCTGGGGTGCCGGCGCCCAACACTTCACAACGGAGAGAGACACATACAACGGACCTGGCTTTCCATCCTGCGAGGCGAGGAATGCGACTGCCGTGGTCGACCGATCCGCCCGTGCGTGACCGCCTTCGAGACAGCAACGAGCGGCCGCGCTCGCGTCTCCGGTACGAGTTCGTCGTCGTGATCTGCGTTCGAGCTCCGTCGTGGCATGACGCAATCCTTTCGCGCTTTGTCGCCCGCGACCGCCGGATGGCGGAGGGCCGCGAAAAGGCGGAGGAGGTGCTCGAAGCGATGCGCGGAGCAGGCCTCACGCTTCGCGTCAAGCGGCACCTCGCCCGCGACGGCTCCAAGCTCCTGCTCGCCTTTGTCACGGCGGCGGCCGACCGGCTGGCGGTTCAGAGTGACCGACTCGCGGTCGAGAAGTGGCTGACCGAGGAGCGCTCGCTCGAGAGCGGCGGCGGCGCGCGCTTCGGCGTCGACTCCAAGCCGGCCACGCGGGTCGTCCGTGTCGGAGGCCTGCGCTGCGCCTCGCGCTTGCGCCTCGGCATGCATAGCCGTCGCCGGTCGACCAGGTGGTGTGGCTCTTGATTGGTTAGGCCTGCACTACTTTGCGCCCGTCGAAGGGCCGGCCGCCACGCCGGGCGGCGAGGGAGGCGGCGGTGGCCGGGGCGGCGGCGGCGGGGGCGGCGGCGGAGGCGGCGGCGGCGGCGGCGGCGGAGCAGCAGCAGCAGCAGCAGCAGGAGGAGGAGGAGGAGGCGCGTGTGCAAGCACGGGCGGAGGTGCTGGCGGCGACAGCTCGGGCGTCGGCGTTGGGGAGGCTCTCTCCGCAGCGGCGCGCGTCGAGCTTGTGGGCCACATCTCGGGAGATCACGGGAGATCACGGGAGATCATGGGAGATCACAGGCGCGCGTCGAGCTCGTGGGCCACATCTTGGCCTCGCCGCCTGCGCAGGGCGGCGCCGGGCTCGGTGCATCTTCGAGAGTACCCGAGAGTACCCGAGAGTACCCGAGATTACCGTGGCTGGCGCCGGGCTCGGTGCGGGAGATATGGGGAGATATGGGGAGATATGGGGAGATATGGGGAGAGAGAGGCGGCGCCGGGCTCGGTAGTTGCGCAGAGGAGCGGAGCCCGGCATATCCACGACACGTCCACGACATGTCCCGACACGCGTCCTGCAGGCGTCGCGCAGAGGAGCGGCCCGCTGCGCGGTGTGCGCCTTCTCCTCGCGGTATGGCGCGGAGTCCTGACCTCGGACGAGCGTGACTCGGGTCGTGGTTGCTGCTGGGGGTAGGCATTGTCCTCGCGGTGGCGGCGCTGCACGACAAGCCGCTCAACGAGGTGCTGCTCACCCTCACCCTCACCCTCACCCTCACCCTCACCCTCACCCTCACCCTCACCCTCACCCTCACCCTCACCCTCAGCCTCACCCTCACCCTCACCCTCACCCTCACCCTCACCCTCACCCTCACCCTAACCCTGACCCTAACCC